CCCCACCTGGAGTTCTGCATCCAGCAGTAGAACCCACAACATCAGAAGGACATAGACTGGTTGGAGCGAGTCCAGAGGAGGCCACAAAGACAATTCAGAGGGCTGGAGCACCTCTGCTATGATGAAAGACAGAGAGTCGGGCTTGTTCAGCCTGAAGAAGGGCAGGCTCTGGGGAGGCCTCATTGCACCTTCCAGTGCCTGGGGGTGCTACAAGGAAGCTGGGGGGGACTTTTTACAAGGGTCTGTAGTGACAGGACAAGGGGTAACGGGTTTAAATTGAAAGCGGGGAGGGTTAGATTAGATATCAGGAAGGAATTCTTCCCGCAGAGGGTGGGAGCACTGGGACAGGTTCCCAGAGAAGCTGGGGATGCCCCATCCCTGGGAGTGTCCAAGGCCAGGCTGGATGAGGCTTGGAGCACCCTGGGCTATGGAAGGGGTCCCTGCCCGTGGCAGGGGGGGGGACTGGGGGGGCTTTAAACGTCCCTTCCAACCCAAAACATTCTGTGATTCTATGAAAGTTTCCACTATTTTCTTCTCTGGTGCTGCTAATTGAGAGGGTGAAGAGCTCCTCTGCCATTACAGTCCCCTACTCCCCCCAGGATCCTGGTTCAGCCACCATTTTCACACCAAGGCGGGCTGCCCCAGCTGCCCCGGCACGGGCCGCCTTACCAGAGAAACCCGCGAGGCTCAGAGGAGAAGAAGCTACAGAAAAAGCTAGTAGGCGGCCACAGGCAATGGCAGAGAAGAGAGAGGGGGTGGAGGGAAAGACCCACGTGTTATGTAAACATAAAACCTGGGGACATGCTGCGTTAAGGGGTTATGATCTCCTCGAGGTGCTGCCACGTGCAGGAGCGGCACCCGGCCTTTCCGCAGCCCCAGCTCTCGTTGTTTCTGCTCTCTGGAGCGAGCTGCTGCGCAAAAAGCAGTGGTACTACAGGATTTGGGAAATTATTGACACCAAATATGACAGTACTCTGATCTTAAGGGCTGGGGGGTGTGGTTTTTCACCCCACATAAATATTTTAGTAATGGCGAAGTGTGGGAACTGGGGGGGAGGTACGGAATAAGAACGAAGAGCTTTAGAAAGAGCCTGAGGTGCCTCTTGGGCAGCAGGTGTGTAAAGCACGGCACCAGAAGGAAGTGCGACGCGTCGATTTTAACCTGCGAGCGGTCTGCGAGTTCTGCAGTTAAAGCCCCCAGCTCCCAAG